TTTATTTTCTGATACAGAAGAACAGCCCTCATCTATCTGTAGTCAGAGAAACGATACCAAGGATTTCTAAAGACTGAAACGGAAAGGACTGATGAGATAATTCGTAGGGGATGAAAAGGATACTGATCTATAAATTGTTTGGACTAACTGGTTCTATCCATCTGAATTACAAAGCAATAGGCCCCTTTCCCTGCTAAGCTTCACTTTCAAGTGCTTACTGAAGCATTTTCAGGTAATCTCCAAATAAATGGGGAACAGCTGCTTAAATGGAAAAGCAAGAGAATAAGGTCCGCACACAGTCAAGAGGAAGAGGAAAACCATAGGACCATAAGTACTCACTGAAACACTACAGAAAGCGGAAAGGAAACAGGAGAGACGTGAGATAAGAGGGAATGGCTTCCTAGACTTTAGTTCCAAATTACAATCAAGAAAAACGCTTGTCATCTTCCATCATGCCGAGTGACTTATTGGTTTAGAAGAACTACAAAAAGTAGTTGGACGCAGGCATTACCAACCAAACAGAAGGGCTGCTCAGAAAGGGATGCTTCTATTTCATTACGTTGACTCACAACAGCAGAGGTGGTGTTGGTGGTACGGCAACAGAATTTGAACATTCCCACCAACATCCCAATACCACACGTCACCGTGTGACAGATGGCAGCAGAGGGGAAATGGTGTCTGAGTGTCACAGGTTGCCCAGAAAGCTGTGCACGCTCCAACCTTGGAGATGTTCAAGGCTGCTGGACACGGCTCTGAGGACCTGACCAACCTGCAGATGTGTTGCTACTGTTTACTGCAGAAGGGCCACTAAGAGTCCCTTCCAACACACCTGATTCTATCCTAGTAACATGAGATATGATAAGGTACGATATGATAACGACGGTGACGAGTCACAGAGCATGAAGGACTGAATGACCACGAAAAAACAGGCAGCTGTAAAAACAGCAAGGGCACTGACAGCACAGTGTGGCTCAGACCACACCATACCAAAGACAACTCAGCCTGGCCAAAATGCACAACTGACAGCTGCTTCCATGCCCACCAACCCACTCTTGCCCATACCTCCCAGGTGAATCCAATTTTAATTCTTGTAATTAGCTACGTAATTCATGGTATAGAGTGGGGTGAGCTGATCAAGAGCTGTGTTTATTTTCTTCGGTGGACCATCCTGACAAACTCTTACTTACATGACAATGCTCACTGAGCCAACATTTTGAAGGATATTACCTTGTGGGGAATTTCATGCATATCTTATTTACAAGTCTTACCCTCAGTATCCCCACATTCTGATGTCATGGCTTGGCTATTTTGCAATTGCCAGATATGCAAATTTGGATATCATCTGTACCATCTGCACTTGCTGTATTTTATCTTTCACACTGCCAAAAGCCAATGGTTTGCAGCTGAAAAGTAAAAATTTGCTTCTGCCTGAAACACAGCTGAGAGAAAGGCAGTGGTGCTCTTGTTTATACACATAAGATAAGGAAAGTACTTCTCATCTGACAGCACGTTGTACACTGACAGCATTACACCCGAGGGAGAATGCATTCTTCATGCATTCTGCGAGTACTTTAAAGTCAGAATTTCAGACACGCAACTTTATAATACAAACATATACAAAGGGAAGCTGATTTAGTGCTTGTATGGCACTACTCATGCTCTCAATGATGCTCTCCATTGGGCAACTGTAACACTAGTTGTCTCCTGCAGGACAGGTTTTTCGCTTGCTGGATAAGAAACTGGGTAGAGGATGATGAAATTGAGTGATAGGAAGCAAAACAAACAAAAGAGAGTGACAAAGAGCTGGAACAGGAACTGAGGAAATGACAGAAAAAGATAGCAAAGCACTACACTTACAGAGGATATAGCTCCCATCACACGGTATTGTGGTGGGGGTACAACAATATGTTCACATCTATTAGCCTGAGCAATAATTAACAGTGAGCATTTGAGAAAATTACTCAGTACCGCTGCATCCTTCCCTGCTTAGTGCTGGCAGCTTGTTCCAGCACACTGCGTAGTTTCATGTAACCGAACTCAGATCTGAAACTAAAGACCTCTCTCTGGGAAGGAACTTTCTACCCACTGAATCTGCAAGCAGAAGTCTCTACTTTCCTCTTAAGTAGAAGAAAAATTCCCAGTTATACTTCTGTTCTTATCTGCGGTGTCAAAACCAAAAGGCTTTCTGCAAAACTGGATGTAGACAGACTTACACACTTTTTGTGCCCTCAATCAGAAGAGAGCTAGAAACGCTACTTAATGAGATACAACTGGCCGCAGGAGTCTTGGCTTCATGGCCCAGCTGTGACAGAGAAGAAAAGCCATTTAACTCCAGGTACATCTGGGAGAACAGCCTGGCCCACACCATCCTCCCAGACTCTTGCAGGTGACAGGAGTGGAGGCACAAGAGCTCTCCAGATGCTCAAGATCTGGGTAGGAACTACTGCTGCTTTGCTGCAGCCTCTGTAAGGAGAGGCCGAGATGCCGTGCTCTCCCTTACTTTTTTTGTTGGCTACTGAGGCAGCAGTGCTGAGCACCGCCTGCACTCGGCTACTTGCTTTTCTCTCTGGTTTCGACTGAAGGCACAGCTCTGCCTGACCTGGCACCAGTGATAAGAGAGCATCGAGCCCAGAGATCTGCCCTCCACCACCCATACAAATGTAGCTGCTCTCCAGATTGCCCACAGCAGCACACAATTACCCCAGTGCTCTTAAAGCCCTCACGAGGTTTGGCAAGAACTGTTCCCCTCCTCCCTCTATTTGAAATGCAATCGACAGACCAACTTTGTATTGATACTTGGGCAGCGTTACCAATAAGAACCACAAAGGGCTACAAATACAGAATCAGGAGGAAAACTGAAGAGTGAACAGGCAGAATTTGCCAACTTTTGACACTTCAGGCCCCTGGGAGTTGGCACAGCAGCATTATGCACTTCATAATTACTGTGAAACGCACACAGAAAGCTTTTGAGGCTTTGCTTATTAGGACCTATTGGAGCACCTCTTTGCCATCAGTACCACACCACATTATATACCCAATATGTAACTCATGATTATGCAAAAGAAGATTATTTATGACTTTTAGACAATTGCTGATTAGTAAGATGGCTGTGTTATGCATAATAATAGACCAAATGTTTCTCCTGCACAGTCATTATCCAAAACGTGTACAATTCTTATCTAAATTCCAAGAGTGTTAATTCATAATGCAGAAATTAACACCAGAAGTTAATGGCAACTGAAAAAAGAAAGTCTTTCTTTGCAACTTCACTGATACTTTAAAACTGAATTAAAAAGGACATAATGACAAAATATGATAAAAAGTGTCTGAAAAGCCAAAAATCCAACAGTGTCTATAAAGTGAAGGAAGTGCTGCTTAAGGGAACACCTGCACAACTGGAAAGCACAAATAGCAGTATTTACTCCTCCTGGCGTTGCTAAATGGAGAACTAGCAAACAGCAGAGATGAGAAGGGACTCGAAGAAATCTGCAGGATGTTGCAGAAGTGTTTGCAGGCATGTTTGTGAAAGGGCACGTCCAGTCCCACGGCAAACAGCAGCACTGCATTCCTTCAGCTTTGTTATCTGAACATCCTTCCAAAACAAAATACTTGAACATTTCAGGAGAACAACGCCATAAAGAACGCCACCACTGTCATCTCGATCGCCCACCTGCACAACCGCAGTCCAACACATTCTCACACACTACTCCTGTGCACAGCCGACACCTCTGTCTCACAGCTAAAATACATTCAAGCAATGGAAAATCCAGCTGATTTCCTGCAAAGGGCTGTCACACTGTTAGAGCTTTTCCCAGCCATTTACCGAGATTTTCCTTGTCACAAACTCCCATTGCTTCCATGCCATGAGAGGTTCCAGAAGTTTGGATAGATTAGAGAACCATCGGCTTTCAGAAATCTTCTCACTGTGATCACCTCCTAATTTTATTTTTTATTTTTATTTTTTTAATAAACTGAGTAGCTTAAATCTTAAGCTGCTTAAGAGTTCCTAAGCCTCTTACGATAAGAAACGTTTTCTAAAAACTGAACTCTTCTGGCAGTTTTCTTTTTTTTTTAAACCAACCTCCAAATTTCCGCATACTTCCATAAGCACAAATAACAAAACCAGGCACGGCATTTCCCTGGCTGCTTCCCTCACATGTTTTGCGGAGGCGACAGGACTACTCGGTCCTTACAGCCCTGCAGTAATTACTCTGCTTCTCCACGGACTCAATTTGACTCAGCTAATGAGGGACCCCTCACACTGGGTTCTCCTCTTCACTCACTTACAAAACTCACTCGTTTGGGCCTGGATGATTAGTACAAGCATTGGGCCAAGCACAGATAAATATGCAGGAACGAACCCCAGCTCTGCTCCCCTCAGAGACCACCAGCCAACGGCAGGGTGTCAGAGAGCTTTGTCCCCACAAGAGCTTTATCTCCTTTTCTGATGAGTGCCATAGAACCCAAAGTTAGCATCCTGGGGAGCTACTTAGCTGCTTCACTTGATAAAGCAACGATGGTTGTACTGCCCTCAGGGTCACAACAGAGACAGCAGAGTGTTTCAGATAGGTATTTTAAATACTTACTCCTTTCAGAAGCTTTTGTTGCTGGATCAGGGAATTCCTCAGGCAGAATGCCCCTTATATTAAAGCGTTGTTTGCTCTTACTGTAACAGTGCACTAACAGGACGCTAAAACACTGAATTAAAAAGGACACAATTTGGTCAAGCACTGGACAAACATGCTTGCTGAATGAAGGCACAAATTCCATGGGATGATCCTTCTGCTGCAGCGGTTCGTGAACCAAAGCACAGAAAGCATCAAAAGATGTGAAAGACAGAAAAGCATTGTTTGCATAGCCAAAAAAAGATGAAAAACTCACCTTTCCAATTATTTTTAGATTTGTTTTTTTCAAGGAGTGAACAATTGCACGAGACAGAGCATTCTGTTAGCCAGCACTGAGCACAAGGCTCCTGAGCCACAGCATCCCCCCTTACTTACACATTCAAGGGCTGCCAGGCAGGCCACTGCGCTTTTGCCTTGATGACTGTCAAAACCTCATCACTCTGTGAAGAGAGACAGAAGAAAGAAGCGATTAGGACAGTTCTGCAGTGACTTACAGCAAGAAGCAAGAGGCACTAAATGACACCATGCCTTCAAATTCTGACCATGAGAAACACGCTTGGTCCTTCCTGTTATCTGGCACTGCATGCCCCCAGCTGCCCAGCTTCACTGAGAGCCCTATGAACGCGGTCACCAGCGTGGCATGCAAAGGCAAGCAAACCTTGGCACAGCCTCCTCCCTTCTGCAGCAGCAGAAGTCAGCCCAAAGCAGCAGCTCACAGACATGTTATTATTTGTGCACGTCTCCCCAGTAAGAGGCGACAGCCTTGGCAACCCAATGCATCTGTGAGAACGTATGATGCACTGTTCAATATCCTCCTGTTTTAAGAGCCTGTGGCGGATGCACTGCAATCTCCTCCACGTAAAACCATGGCTAGCACTTGCCCTTTGCTCTCCATTTACTTGCGTAAAATTACAGGGTGAAATACAGCACCCACCAATTTGCAACGGTGTGGCAAAGCATGGTACAAACAACATTTCTGTAAGCCTGTAGCAGTTTCTGCATCAGCAGTTTTAAACTTGATATTGACATAATAAACACAGGACAAAGTCAGGAAACTATTAACAAGGCTCTGATGCCCAGAAGACATCTATCACACATTTTTAGAAGCATTTTCCCCATCTCCCCTAGGAATTCATCTCTGTAATTCGCCTAGAGGAACACAGAGTTCACAACTCACACAATTTTCACTGTCTTTTAAAAATATTTCCCAATTACACTAAGAAATCCAACTCATGCATTACCAGTAATTGGCATTTCCAACAGAGCTGGCTTTCCAGCTTAGTGATAATCGCGCCATTTCCTGCTTGATAGCAGTAGTTCTGATAGTCCAGGCTAGCTCCAATCCATGCACTATTCTATTTAAAAATAGACAGTTTCCACTGGTTGTTTCCACCTCACTCTGTATTTTCCGACTTTCCCTTCCTACCAGGCGAACTTATTGCAGCACCGAAGGCCCTCTCTGCAACACAAGGTTTCCAGTCTCAAGACTGCACACGATCTCTTGCTCACCCCAGTGAGCAGATAAGCCACCTTGTGAAAATCTTTCTTATAAATACTTCTAATTTTTCCTGTTTCAACACCTTAAGACTTCTCAGCCAAGCATGTCTTTAATTATTATTCTTGAGAAGCCATTTATATTGAAAATACTGTATATTACACTTTCCAAAGAAAGCCTGTTACGAGTAGAAATGTTTATGCTTATTAAAATCATACACTGCATATCTAAGAGAAGACAATAATCATGTCAGGAACATCCAAAGCTCTTGCGTTTGAAATCCCTCGAACACCTGCTATTCACATCTGAACTACAAACATACCCAGAGCGGATGTCCACAATTAATGGTTCAGTAGTAAGTCTGGAGGGAAGGAGAGAGGGGGAGCAGAGCATGCGAGCTCAGATCTCCCCTGCTTCTGAGGGGGCAGAATTAATGACCACTCTCTGAACAGCAGCAAAGCTCAAAGGATGCAGCAGCCAGTGTTCAGATGGGCCTGGGAACAGAGCCACGTGTTTGCTACCAAGTGTAACACAAGGCTAGGCTGCAACTTGTATCACTGTCATCCCAGACACATCTTCTAATCATGGAGCTGTCTCTACAATGCGCATTTCTAACATTTCTTACTTTCCAGTCTTTAAAAACCTAACAGCTACACTGTAATTGATACCAGCGTAAGGTTACTTTCATATGCCTTGAAGCCAGTTACACCCAAGCAGCTGTGTCACACACAGAGGTTCCCTGGAGCAAGAGTTTCTACAAAGACGATGTCACACCACGTTTTGTCTCCAGTGTTTGTACAGTTTGAACATTCAGGGTTTCTACCTATCCTAAAATACAAATCGCTGTAAGTATTTAGCAAAAGAGAGAGACTTTCTGATCAACTACAAATATACATATGCTGTATTGCATTTGTACCCATTCTTCTTCCTCTTCATACTCCCAACGTTACGCTCTGATATTTGAAGTAAACAAATGCTCAAAGTCAAAACATGTCATAAGAAGTAGGATCTGCGTTTTACGTTCCAAGTTGCTTTGACACCATATATGCATTTGGCAGGGAAGCCGTCACTCCCGAGTAATGAAACGGTCAGGTTTTGAACCAGAAAACCACAGCATTTGCACAGCGATGGAGTGTGAGAAGGTAACAACACCAGCCGCCAGAGGAAAGGGCACCAGCACTCGTGTAGCTCTCAAAATCAGGAAAGTAAAGCCTGATACACATCCCTTCCAACAACAAGAAGAAAAGAATAAGAGGAAAGCTGTCAAGCACACGTTATGCCTCTGTGCATGAGGAAGTTGCCAAGGAACACATCTGGAACTAGCTGTCAGTTGTTAGATATATACGGGAGGAATACTGCTAGCCTCTTCCCAATTTAGAAGGCCTTCCTCCTGGACTACAAATCACAGAACAGCTGACACTCCGCTGCTGCACTTTTGCCAGGTGTGCTGTGAGCCTGTTGGTGCAACCTTACACGGAAACTCTGCCACAGGGCAGCAAGGGCAGGCAACCCACACTGCTCTGCCAGGCAGCTCCAGCACCCAACAGCAGCCTTGGGACAGCCTGCATGGTGTCCTCTGCCTGCTCTGAGCGCTCCCGCTGCCTGTGCTGCACCTCTGCTCTCCTCTAAGCAGAAAGTCACGACGCAGCAATGAAATCAGCTGTCCCTTTGGCAAGTGTAGTTAGACATCATCGCTTACAAAACGTTGTGTGAAGTCTTTGTAGACCCTCCTGGAGTCTCTTTGTCAAATTTCAGTCATTATTTCAATGATTTTTAGTAATTTTATTTTCCAGTTGTATCAGAACAACTCCTTCCCTACATGCTTAGCACTTGCGCAGAGGTCCAGTGGAGCCAAAGCAGTCTCTAGATTGACTTCAGTGGATTCTGGATTATAACCTAAGCTAAAACATGCAAAAAACAGCTAACAGTTATCCTTTCCAAATCCCTTTTCTACATTTGGGCTTCAATCAGGGAGTGGGTGGGTGACTCAACAGCTGTTCTCTATGACAGCATGTTGTCCAAAAAGTTCCAACACCATGATTTCAAAGAGCTGATACCGTCATTCTAACGCTGGCACCTTACTGACTTTCTGAAGGTGGTATAAACTAATGACTGACTTCATATCCACGTGTTCCTGCAATGCCCAATAGAAGTGGCACGCAGAATAAAGTCATTACATGGTGCCAAAAAGAATCCCATGGCACGAAAGCACTGCCAAGCTGTGTATTTTACAAAAGATTAAAAAGATTTAATCTGCAAGAACAGAAAGTGGGACACTGCTCAAAAAAGCAGCACTGAAGATAAAGCTCGATTTGAAGCCTTGGTGAACCAAAGGAATTCAAACACCTTGTCGAGAGGATAACATGCATTAAAAAATAATGAAAGCTTTCAGGAAAAATTTTAAGCACCATCTGAATGGCTTTGGAATAAAAGAGAGATTAGGAGGACCTGGAGAGCCATGAGACTATTTCATGCGCTCCTGCTGCTTTTTGGTAACTGATGCGATTAGTGCCTTTCTTTTTGTGCTGGGAGTTATTTTTAATGACTAATTTTTATTACTGGTTTTATTTCATGCACGCTGAATAACATTACCAGATGTTACTGTGCAGACCACTTCACACTTTGTAATAATGATTTGATTCAGTTCAGCTATGCAAAATAAGGTGTATTATCTGACATCAAAATCAGAGCCAGATTCAACGAACTATGAGAACGAAACCCATCTGCTTTCAGCCCGAGCTTCATTTCCACTCACTTCACACTGCCACTGCTTGGCACTCATTTGATTGTTCTGGAACTGAGAATATTTAACCCCCATCCTCATAACATCTCAATGCCTTTCTATCCACAGCAGATTTATCGTCATAGGAACTTCAGAAAGTAGGAAAAGTAACATTATCTGCAATTCACAGGTGATGAATAGAACGCCTTTTAGAAACAAACCAACACCCCTGAATTTCAAGATAGCATCTCAACTGCAGGAGCACCTTTACGTCCAGACATAATTTGGTTTTGGAAAAGGAGGAGATAAAGCAAGAAGGAGAAGGCATAATGCGCAGCACGTCTTTTGTGGGGAACTGGGGAGTCAAATGCTATGAGAACAGCAATGATAAAGCTCTTGGGAGGTACGGCTGGAGAACTCCTGACAGCAGAACAAATCCTCCACGAAGAGCATCAAATGGAACTCACCCCACCAAATGGAACTCATCCGCCCTGTTCCGGCACAGACGTATCACTGAGGATATCCTCAGTTGACTTGAGGATATCCTCATTGACCTCATTGCAGCCTATCATGACCTCACTGCAGCCTATCAATACCTGAAGGGAACCTACACCCAGGAGGGGAGTAAACTGTTCAGAAGGGCTGATAACAGCAGGACTAGGGGAAATGGTTTTAAGTTGAAGGAGGGAAGATTTAGGTTGGATGTTAGGGGGAAGTTCTTTACTAGGAGAGTGGTTAGGCCCTGGAACAGGCTGCCCAGGGAGGTTGTGGATGCCCCGTCCTTGGACGTGTTTAAGACCAGGTTGGACAGGGTCCTGGGCAACCTGATCTGAATGTGTATGTTTGGTGGCCCTGCTAGGCAGGGGGGTTGGAACTACATGATCCTTGGGGTCCCTTCCAACCCGGGTGATTCTGTGATTCTGTGATTCTGTGATATGAAAAGCCCCAAGGCTTCTCTTAAGCTCATAAAAACAGCCTTCAGCTAGCACAAGTCCTCAAAAGCTGAAATGCCACCTTGTTTTCCTACACGCACAGTAAGGCGAGGTGCCTTCCTACAGGCTGTGCTGGAAGGAGGTACTTCAGAGGAGATGCAGCTAGCAGATTATGGGCTTCACAGGCAACAACTGAAATGCGGCATGTTTTCCCTTTGCTGGATAAGATCTGTATAGATCTTGTCCTAATTCAGTTTTACAGCTATACTGGAATAAAAAAAGGAACATCCG